GGCTGAAGTAAATCTATTAAACATCTGTTTCACGGCGTGTTTCTGCCACAGCCTGAATGGAGAACACACACACGGCTGTCGTAGACACTGAGACAGAAGGGCCTTTCATGCTCCCGATGTATTTGTAGTTTGTTCTATGACAGACGCTGAGGTTCTGTTGTGGCTTCGACTCCTGCATGAAGGCATTCAGGCTGGATGAGTGTGCACCACGACAGTGAGGAGCATCACATGCGCAAAACATATGCCCTGCCACATTCATGATGGCTAGTTAAATCCATGTGGAAAAATGAGGAGATGCCTGTTGACAACTAGTAATTTGTCGGATGCTGACAGAAGAAAGATTTTCTTTAATTACCTGTCTGACTCCCACTGAGCGCCGTGACGATTTAACGTATTCTCCGATTAATACTGATAGAAAATATCCAATTATACATGACATCTATTGGAAGAAAGAAAGGCTCCAAAGGAAATTTAATTATAGAGCTTTGGTTCTGTTATCTTTAATAAATGAATCACCCTGTCTGCAACCATAAACTCTGCGATAGAAATGTTGACACATGAACTGGAAATGCAATAAAACTTCAATTATTAGTTTCATTATTCACTTGGATAATAGTTCCCAGAAAAAGAACAAATGAGAAAAAGCCAGCAGATAGTTGATCCATTTAACACACACACAAACACACACACACACACTTCGTGCTGGTCTGAAGGCTTAAAAGCACCGCTCGTCTAATGGAGATGAAAGGTGATCTCGCTGAATTCCCTAAATTAGATTTTCACGCTGCTAAAATGCGACCACTTTCAGACAGGCGTACACAACAAATTTATGCAGGAGCACATCATATGAAGTATTCAGAAGGTTCTAAGATAAATTGATTTTTTTTTCATAGATAAAGCAATTTCTCCTGCGCAGGCAATCACCAGGCTGTGTCATAGAATTCTGTCTTTGTAGAATTCTGAGGGATGTTTTTCACACTAGGTAGAAAGTGGCTTTTTGGCCACATCTCGGGACTGATGTTGAGTTTGTATCAAGTATTTTTTTTAGAAAAAAAGCAGATGGAGCAAGATCAAAACCGGATTCAAATCTTCAATAATTTGAATAGGTTTCCAATCATACTTGTGAAACTGAACCAACAACCCTCAGGGTGTTATACTGCCCTAGCAGTGCCTAAGCTCGGCAACAGCTCTCTGTTTTATCGGTTGTCGAAAAGGTCAACTTATGAGAGTTGACAGATCTGATCAAATAAAACATAAAACAGCCCCATGTGGAAAAGACCATAAAACCCATCCAAGATAATTACCAAGTTTCTCAGCAGGTCTTATTCAAAAATATGTCAGAACTTTTACACCTATCAGCACGTCACTCTTACTTCTTTAGATCCTACAAACACACTCAAACAAACGACTAGGTCAGTAAGTGTGAGGTAGCTTTGATGCTAACCAGTCAGTCATCACCGCACTTACTCATGGGCCATTGTCAAAAGTGTGGTGTTAATGCAGTGATAAGTCTGATGGGCCGAGGAGTCACGCAGTTCTACAGTACAAATCATAAGCCAGAGAGTAGAACACAGCTGTGCTGCACTGGCAGTAAACTCCTCTCACTTTGTCCAAGGCCTGTAATTTCACAACGTTACATTCTGACATTCTTAGAATGATTTTCATTCCAGACTACTCATGGGATTAGCAGCTACGATGATTGATATAAAAAAAAAGGAAATGAACTAATTTTCCTCTGCCTCCGTGCTGTTTAGCATATTATGATAATAAACACCATCTTGTTAATTCTCTCATTAGCTTTGAGGTTTGGTTACAGGCCACGCCACTCCTCTGAAATCCCTTCATTAGTGATAAGCACGTTAGTTTCGGTACCAGCCTGGACTTACTCGCCTCCCTCCTCCTCCCCTCTCTCCACCTCTTTGTCTGGTAACATAGCCAGAGTTGGCAGGCAGCAGGCAGGCTGTGTTCAGTCATGTCAGGGTAAATTATGGCTCAGGTGGCCGGTGAGCGGTCGGTTGTTGCAGTTACATGCCAGTGCCAAAACCCTGCAGGCTCTCCCTGGCACATGCAACGCACACCTCCCACCTCCAGGAGGAGGTCTGGATTAGTCTTCCAATGCATGATTATCAAAGCAGAGGGCGACCCCATCGCCCCCCCGACAGCCCTGAGTCTTTTCAAATTAAACATTACTATTTCACTGTAAGGTAATGTATAGGGGGAAAAAATGACAAAACAGAATTATGGAAAAGCCAATGACACACATACACACACAGACTTTATCTTCCTGTAATGCTGGAGGAGCTTGATTATGATCTAGAATATCAAATAAATTATTAATTAATTATTAAATACATGAGCGGGGTGGGCCGTCATTTACATATATAAACAAATAATTTAAAACATGTTATTTTTTAAATGCATATACTAAAAAAAAAACATATTTTGAATTTCATTTTATGGGCAAGTCCAGTGCTGTAAAGCCAGCTATACAGCAGTGGATTCTAAAATGGGGGGGTACCCCACCAGGCTGGGTGATAATGCAGGGAGTGGGGTGGGAGGGGCGGTAGACACAGCAGGGCAAATAAATTGGGTTTGCAAAAAAAAAAACAAGGCAATCTCAAAATCTGGGTTCAGTTGATTATATTTCGAAGCGGGGGGCAGGGCGGGGGTGAGGGTTCCGAGAGAAGAAGTTTTCGAATCACTGATTTTCACTCACAATATGTAACTCAAAAGTTAGATCATTCTGTATCGTAAAAGTGACTTTTCCCAGCAGGACATTCTCATTCTTTGGACCCTCTCAACAACAACAATGTCCATGTAAATATATAATATATTTCAGGAAAATAGTAATGCCAAGTGAACAAGAGAAATAAGAGAAAGGTCTAGGGCTAAAGAGAGGATGGTACAGGGGGGGGGGCAGGTGCTCCAGAGTGGGATTTTAACACAGATTTCTCACAGCCTCATTACAGGATTCAGCCTCTGGGGGGGACGGGGGTCAGATCTGATCAAAACCCAAAGTGACAGGTGAAAATGGGATTCTGTCTGAAATCTACACCCTGTGCACACAGCACATCATCGCTGCACACTCTCCTCAAAAAACTAAGCCTTTCCTCCATCAATCCCAGAAACCATCACTTTGTAAGAATGAAAACGGAGTCGATAGAAAAGCACAAACACATATGAATTTACTAAGACAGTTGATAAACAAACAGGTCAGGCCAGCTTCACAAACTGTGTGACTTCACAAACTCTTTACTCTGGAGCCTTTTCTGCTTCTCCTAGTTTCCTGCATCTGATTTTCTTCCAAAGAAAAAACAACTATAAATGAGTCCTTTCACTCACATTAAGTTGAGAGAAGGGCATTTTGTAACGTGATACCATTTAAGATCTGTGTCATTTCTTAAATAGGTTTCTATGAAGAAAAAAAACACACAAATGTCTGGGACAAGTCTACATAAAGTTGACTGACTCATTACTCATGTTTGGCCCCAGTAGCAGCTGCACAATTTCATTCACATGAAGGCACATATTTTCCCAAATACACACGCATTAATCTCGCTATGCACATGGGACCGTCATGTGAGTCTGTTCAGGCTGCGTTGACTTCCACAATCACCTTTGATGAATCACCACACATAATGGCCCGCAAAGGAGGAGAGAGTCCATTGTTGGGGAGACCGGCCACTTCTGCGTGACCTCGACACAAATTCAAGTGTACGGTAAAAATATGAGCACGTTCACAGAGACGTGGTCCTCATACACACTGGGCCGTTAGTGCAGGATGACTGAAAACGTCCAGAGATGCAACTGGGATTACAAAATGTTCCGCTGTACATGACCTACGTTTGTACAAACAACTTTCACGACACAAAAATGCTTTTGAGTGCAAGGGGAAGGGTTGATTTGCAGAGTGAATGGCCATTCATGTAAAAGGGAAACCACCAAATGACCATGTTTCCTCACTGCGTCAATGTTTAACCTGCGAAAGCAACCGGGAAACAGGCAGGCGAAAAAAAAAAGATATTCTCTGAAATTAAATATGGAAAGTATATAAAAAAATGTGCAGCCAATTCTGACTACACCAGTGCCACCACTGGCAGCGTCTCTCTTTGCTATTATTAACCGCTGATATTTTAAAAGCTGAAACAGAACAATTTAATTCCCAGCACTCCCCTCCACTCTGATTTAACTGATGAATATTTCAGAGGAACGTCAGAAAAGGCAGAAAAAAACTCTAATCTGCAAGTCAGCTTCTGCTTCACCTCTTGCTCCCCCAGCTACGTGATTCTCCTGCAGGACTGACTGAAGGAGCAGGTTTGCTTAATTTTCTACATGATTTAACAATTTGCGGAGCAAGTGTTCATGGTCATAAGAAGAGAGAAAGAGGGGTGGAGGGGGGTGATATCCTGACCTGGAAGGCAGGAAAGTAAAAACAGGGGAAAAGGAACTGTGGTAATAATAAAACTGGAGGAAACATATTGGCCAAAGATTTAATTTAGAATTCAAGCAGATCCTTGGATTATTAGATTTAAACTTCCAGACAAACTTTATCCTTTATTTTTAAGAAATTCACCTCATAATTTTAATGCTCAGGTATGTGATTTTCTACCTCAATAACGCCAAATAGTTATAGAATAACCTACTTGTAGAAGTTTTTTTTTAATATAATTAAAGATACGCAACAAATATGAACAGGCAGGTATTAAAACATGGACACACATCTGCTCTGACTCTCTTCGGTCCCTCAAGCCTATTTATACCTGACTGGAATGTAAGCTTTTCTGTCTTGTAGAAGTACAAACACACACACACACACACACACACCTTCAGATAAACAAAGCTCACAGACAGGGTTATTGTTCTGTTTCAGTCTTAAAAGGGAAAAAAAGTCATATCCACTTTAAAAGGCAGCAGAGAAACAGAAAGCAAAGAAGATAGTTTCTCCATCTCTCACACACACACTCACACACACACAAACACAGCGTACAAATGGTACTCACAGTCTCTCAGTGTTGCGGGGGATATTCCTTGGCATTGACTTGAGTCCCAGTCCATGGCAGTCTACTGTGGTGCCGCTGCAGGAGCACAGAGCTGGACAGGCGCTGGCATTGCCCAGCAGCAGGGCTGAGAGCATCACCGCCCACATCCAGGGCAGTTGCCCAGCCACGTTGCCCATGTTTGCCCTAAGACAGCTGCCCCTCACAGGCATGTTCTCCAGCACTGTAGCCACAGACCTCTACTTCTCTGTCCACCTCCTCTCTGTGTCTCTGTGTCTCTCTCCCTCTCTCTGAGTCCTGCTACACCTTACAAGTCCTCTACAATTATTAATAGAAATATCTGGTGAATATAAATAGATTTGAAAAAACAAATGCTAATATTGTCCTCCTAGTTCTGAAGAATACAACTCCTCTTTTTTCCTCTTTCCTGATTTTATGATCTCCACCACAGTTTCTGCTGATGTAAAAAAAAAAGGCTGCTTTCTTTCTCTTAATCTCCTTCTTGCAAACTCTTTTCCTTTCTTGTCTTTGTGGAGTTGCTGTGCTGCGCTCTGGTCTGCACGCGTCTGCGTCTCTCTCCTCCTCTCACTCAGTCCTGCTCTGCCTGCTTGAAGAGAGAGTGAATAAGAAAGAGCAGAAAGAAAAAAAAACAGCCTTCTCTCTTACTCTCTCGCTCTCTCTCTCTCTCTCTTACATACACACTCATTCACACACCAGTCATCCATCACAAGGATCTACAAATAGCAGAGCCCCCCCCGACTCCACCCCTGCCCAGCCTTTCCTGCCCCACTCCTCCCCTTCCCCACATATCATAGCCCCCCCCACAACCCTGCCTGAACTCTCATTCTGAAGATCCGTCTTTCATTCCTGTCTTTTCACTTTGTAAATTAGAGCATCTTTCTTTATCCTTTATTTCACTCACTCCACACCTTTTCTCTCAGTTTTGCCTCAAGGGGCATCCCGTGGAGAGGAAGACCTAACCTGCATGACACTGCATAACCCCTGCCCAGAGGGAGAAGCTACGGGGACACTGGGCTATACAACTGTGTGTGCGTGTGTGTGCGTGAGAGTGTGTGAGTGTGTCTACACGTAACGATGGAGAATCCACCAGGGATGATAGGAATCAACACCTCAGTCCCTAAAGGCCAAAAGAAGGAATAAATAATCCAAAGTGTTGCTGTTAACGTGTAAGTGTAGCCATACACACACACACACACACACACACACACACACACACAAGCCAAACAAGAAGCTGTGGTGAACAAGCACAAAATACAACCACACACACACACAGACACGCAAATACCCAGGATCCGTTGTAAAGGCAGACCACGGCTATAAAAAGTAAGTCAACACCATATTTTGAGCGCAGCGTGGGCACTGGAGCACAGATTACATCCTAATTTACACAAATGAAAAGACAAACAGCTCCTCTCACAGCCATACCTGCTCTGCTCCTTCTCTGGGTTTGAAGGAGCGACCGGGACCACAGACCTCCTCTCCCCAAATGCCAGCACCGAGCATTCCCCGAAGTGGAAACATAAACTGGTCTGTGTTTAGAAGGGAAACATTCGTGATAAGCCGCATTTGCCATTCATCATTCATGTTAAAGAAAAACTCAGCAAAAATCATTTGGCAAAGGCCAACCTTTAGTTCAAACTGTGGCTACACCGGAGGTCTAGCCATTGTTGACAGTGTAATTGTAGCTTTGGTGAAACTCAGCCAAACATGTACGGATGTATGGAATGGCAAATCAGTTTTGAGTATTGCGGGCGGGAAGCACAGCTCTTAGTTCTCGTCGATTCGGTCCACAGTACACTGCTCAAAGTTATCAACACTATAAACCAAACGGTGCTAAAGAACACTGAGCAGTCATTGAGGAACAACAATCACATTTTAGTTCACTCCCTGGGGTAAAGTCTTCCATTGAACCAGAGTTTCATCATTAGATCTTCAATACTGTGTGCCTACATCTGTTTCTTAACGAAGTGCTCTTGAGTAATGCTCTCATCAGCTGTTTAAAGACACAAAAGCAATAACTAATTTAATAGTTGTTTTCAACTCTTACATAAGCTGTCAACTGAGGTTACAAAAACAAAAAACAAAGATGTTTGTGGGGCTTTTTGCCATCTCTGTTTTTCTTTTGTTTGTTTTACAAAGTTTGAGTTGAAAATGTTTAGCTACCAGATTCTGTAATACACTAAACACTGTTTTCTGTCATGTATGGCATGTAATGTTATGTTTGTTTATGTTTTTTTTTTTTTTGTAATTCTAGGACAAAAATAAAGAAAAGAGAAATTGTTCAAAATTCTCAAAAAAAAAAATAGGTAAACAGCACTGAAGAGCATTTCTTAGCCCAATTACCCTCAGCAAACATTGACCATTTGCCTATAAATCTAAAATATAAACGTATATAAATCACCACAATTAAGCTAAACATTTATGAAAACTCAAATATTAGCTCAGCTTAGTAATAAATGAATAATAGTTTCACTCTTTTTATGAATGTAAAATAAATGTAAACGTTTGACATAAACCGTTAAGTGACACAAATCAGATTGGCCCAAAAAACTCATTCACTTCCTATAACAATCACCAGAAAGACAAAAGAGGAAACTTTTGACTTTGTGAGCTCCTCTGACAGTTTTGTTGCTTGTCCAACAAGATTGCGTAAATGTGAACATTCATTTTAGCACACCTCAGGAGAAAACAGCTCCATCTGTGCTAGTAAAAGTGTCAGTGCAGCATAGATCTTTCCCCTATGAATGACTAATTAAAGAGGAGACGTGGTGTTTAGTGATAATGGGGGTGGGGGGATGACGTCCCTCCCCTCACACGGTCGTGATAGGAATGTGCACTAAACAGGAATTATTCAGCTGCACCCAAAGCTTTTAGAGGACAAGGCAGCCATTTTTAATAAATGTGAAAAAGCAAAGAACAACATCAACAGCCTTTAACATGGAGTAAATTTCAATCTAAAAAAGGTTGTCATTAAAAGAAAAAAAACTCCAAAAAGTTAGAAATATTTTTAGGTTGATCCAAAGGTGGCAATTTAAACTATTTCTTATTACACCTCCAAAAACCTCATTCCATAATTATTATAATTTGTTGTTCTGTTTTGACCATGAGTATTTAATGTTATATTTAAGCAAAAAAAACATTTAAATATATGGGTTATAGCAAAGACGTTTTTCTGCATCGTTATGACTGTAGTCATGCTAGCTTCAGTAAATTGTTTTCAATCAAAAATCAAAGTTTTCAATTTAACTCTCCCTGAAGACCTTTGGTAGATCATATACATTTTTAGTAAATTTGCATCCACTCAACATACATGCTTGTGGCTTTGTGCTCAGGCCAGATAATGTTAAGTTGATTACAGTATACTGTAGGTCTCGTTCATTTTACAGTCATCAGGCTCACTCTGGAGGAGGACTGCTAAATATAAGTCGTCTGGACTTTTGGCTGTAAAACAATACTTTTCCTATCATGGAGGCTGTTGTATATTTACAGAACAGGAGGGGGAAAAAGCAGGCCCATTCTCACAGATGTTTACAACATATACTTACAACAGCAAACATGCATTGACATGGACACCATAATGACACGCTTGGAAATTCCTTCTATTGTAGAGCTTGCCTTCTCTCTCTCTCTCTCAGTAACCACCCACTCACCCTCCAGTTCTACAGTTCAATTTGGGCAAATCAGTTAATGCAAACAGCAGCAGTTGAACTTCCGTGGTTAATTCATTTTAACCACTTCACATTGTAATGGACTGCTCCTTGTTTTTTTCCGTTTGGTACAATAGAGCATATAGCAACAATATATATTTATTTAACATAAATGTTGCTAAAATATAGTTATACATAGTATATATACTATATTTTAAACATTAGTTGCAGCGTAAAAGAGTTTTGATTACTATCCTGCGAAATACGTTATGGAGATATTTGCATATCGGTCTACAGGTGATTTATCTTATTTTTAACTAAACAGCAGCACCTTGTGGCGGTCATTAGAATTGCACCAAATATCTGCAGGATCACACAAAACACCACCTGCGGAAAACATGTCAATCTTAAGGGTTAAGGTTTGAAATTAAATGTTTTGTTCCTTTTAATCAATAATTAGCATTTTCCCAGATTTGTGAAAACTATTTTGGGACTTTATATTGTGCTAGGTTTTCATTTCATTTCATTTGGAAATGTTTGATATTCATGTTAGGGTCACAACGTGGACAGTTCTCCATCCAATCACAGGGCCACATAGAGGGACAAAAATATTCACAGTCAAATTGACAGTAAATTAAAGTGAACAATTAACCTACACTTTTCTGGCCGCTAGGAGGAAACCAGAGTACCTAAAAAAAACCACACACATGGAGATCATGAAAACTTCATTCAGGAAGTTAAGACAGGCCATCAAACTGGTGATTTTCTGTCTGTAAGGCACTAAACCTTTTTACACCACATGGCCCTCAGCATTGCCTTGAATTCCTTGATATAATACCAACGGAAAACTACTTTACTGTGAGAAATTACTGTTGATCAACACCGTCTGCCACTGCAGCTGATCGTACTGGATCAGGTAATAAGAAAACCATACATCAATTTTGGCCAGAAACGCCGCCAAATTCTGTCTCTTGAGTTAATTTGCAGTGGACAGAGAGACAATTCAAAACACACTCTGTGGCCAGATGAGCCCACGTTTCAGCTCATCTTTGGGAAACGCAGACGTGGGATGCCACCTGCCAAAAATTAGAGACCATTCATACACCTGTCAACACAAAGCGCAAATGCCAACATCTGCGATCATGTGGGCGATCTGCATACATGTGTGGATACCACTAGTGTGGAGGCTTATGTTGGAATTTTAGAAACAGATGCTCTTGTCAAGATGTTTTTTTTTTTACAGCAACTCAATGGATTTTCTGCAGAACAGGATCACATGTTCAAAAGTTTGGCTCCGTCAATGTACCATGTATGATTGACTGTCCTGTCTGCAGTCCATATGTGTCTCCTATTGGAAATGTTTTTGACACAACAACAAAAATGACAAATATAACTTGTAAAAATAAAAAAAGCCGGGGGTTTAAAATTCAATTGCAGCCTGAGCAGATTTTGGTAGAAAAAAGAAAAAAAAAGACAGCCATAGACCACAGCTTGATGTCTTTTAATTACAGTGGGTTGCATAGCTTCACAGTAGCACCAATGTCCACAGTAAGTCTTCATGGTCAGTTGAAATGAACATGAGGCACTAATCCCATTTTATCACAGCTTAGCAGATAGACCACTTCACTAGAAAACTGCTACTGAATGTGTTAGACACCAAGGTGCATTTCAAATTGGCTCAAATTCTCCCATTAAAGGTTGACAACCACGGCAGAACATTTATCATCACTTGCATGCAATGAAAAAACTATCAAAAACAATGGTTAAAAATTCTGCAATGTGTAAAAAATATATGCAATAAACAGCGGGGAAGGGGGAGTAATAAACATAACAATATGGTAAAAAAAAAGTTGCATAAGACTTCAAAAGTTTCCTGAAAACATTGCATTAAAAGTATCACCCTGAAGCAGTAGTTTAAGGTTTACAGTGTAAAAAAGTTGTGACGAGTAAATGGATCTGCAAATAAACTACATGAGCAGAACCTTTAATCAACACCTTGTCGAAAATTACTAACGAGGAGGAAAAAAAGGAAACTGAATATTTTCAATAGTAGTTTGAAAAAAATTAAATTATGATGTAAGATAAATATAAGGCACGTTCGAATAATCTGTTCTGACGAACGTTCAACTAAATTTTAACCAAGAAGCACATCCCCAAAAACACACGCTATAAAAAATAAATACAAAGTGTTTGAATCTTAAATTAAAAGCAATAAAATTTTAAAGCTAGATCAAATGACTGTCCAAATAACTATTTTTTTAACCTCAGATGGAAACTAAAAGGTTGTAACAGAATTAACTTGTATGTAACATGTAACATATATATTATAAAGCTAAAGAATAAGGTCGGGAAAATTCCTATTGGAAAAAAATGGGGTAAAAACAAGGTGTGAAAAATTGTTACCATTTCCCAAACATCACAACAAGGTTGTCTCCTCTTAAAGTTGACTAATCCTGGAGGGAAAAAATGAAAGGAAAAAAAAACATATTAGGTGATTTTTTTTTGTCCTTTTGGGTGAGAACATCAGGGTTCAATAGAAGGATGGGGAAAAAAAATAATTTGCCTGTGGTGAAACACAGACTGTAGATGTGAAGGAGAAAAGAAAACTCCTTCAGCAGTGAAGAAAATTTAATTTAGATTGGGGGAAAAAAATAAAAATACAAACTTAAGTGTGATAATTATTGGAATCTGTACTTTTGAAATTGTACTAGAACCCATACCTAACAGGCAAAGTAGAAAGAAAACATGAGACATTAAATCTATTGGTTGAACATAAATACACACGTCTATATGATAGAGATGGATAGATAGACGGAACTTTACTTATCCCTTGGGAGTTACACCTTATTTAATTTTAGTATCTAGCAGACCAGTAGGCCTGTTCATCATTTTTATTGTACACACACGCTCAAGATGCCAGATAAACATGTAACGGGCTTGGAGCTCTTTTTTTCATTAATGACTTTGTAATAAATGTCACCACGTACAGTCCTCTCACATTGTCTGTGAAGACGTGGAAGGAAGAAACGTCTGCTGTGTGTCTTTAACCTTAAAGTGGAAAAAAAATCTCTCAGCCTGTCAACATAGAGAATAGCCGCCTACATATTCTGTGAGTGTGGGTGAGAAGGTGATGTCAATTAGAATTAGGAGATGAAATAAGAAAGAAATAAGAAACAAACTAGAGCTAGAAGCAATGTTGGAAAAGTCATTTTAACACACCCGTGCACACACAGTGAATGGAACATGTTCTACTGCACTTGCAGTGGTGATGCTACAGCTCAATTGTGGAAACATTATATAAGAATGAAAGTTTTAAAAAAAAACTCCACAAAGATATGAAATTCATTGTGACAATCATCAAGCTGTGGTCCAGGTTGACAAAGGAAAATTTGAGTGACACAATATTTTAGTTTATGAGAGTTTGCACCAACAGCGTATGGTAAATGGTCTGTAGTTCATCCGTATACTTCACAAGTCCTAGCAACAGCTCAAAGCACTTAACACTGCAGGTTTTGTCATTGGTCATTACCTTCTAACCTCAAGTCAGAATTGAACCCACAACCCTGTGTGCAAGACAAATGCATGCATCAACCACTGACCAACTGCTAGAGCTGAAGGTTTATTGTTAAATTCTGTGTTTTTAGAAAAATCCAGATTAAATGAATTAATAACTCAGAGTCACCCTCTTGGTCACCAACATTTTTCCAAGTCTTGATCTTTTAACACAGAAGCCAAACTCAATTTGGTGCAGAAACAAGGTCTTTACGTTCCCATTTTTTGCCTTTGCCTGACAAGACTTTAATATTTCTTTTATAACGTGAAGTTTTTGAATAAAATAAATGTGAATTTGGGATCTTTTTTTGATTTCTGAAGGTTTTATCGCCTGTGTTTTTTGTTTTTCAGTAATTTTTTTTCAGTATTTCTATCAAAAGTCCCTTATCGATGTTTTGTGCACAGCACAAAGGACTGTGGAAGAATATTTTCCTTACACTGTTTACATTGGGGTAAATTCAGCAGTACTCACTTTTTCACTTTTCTGGCCGTCAATGGAAATCTGTTGTTTGTTTTCTTTCTCCGTCAATACCTGGTTTCCCAGAACTTTCCGCTGAAGTATAAACAAAACATTATTAGATGATGAAAAATAAAACAGAGAAAGCACACTTTTAACTGCACATCAAGGTATCCTTATCAAAACAAAACAAAAAAGTTATGCATACCACTGGCAATATCTTGGCTCCCTCTAGTGGTATTTATATTGTCACTTGCTGATTGTGTGTTTAATTTAATTAAAAAATTATAAATTATACAAATAAAATACTAAAAAAATCACTAAAACGTGAAAACAAGACAAAATACATTTTTACTTGTACTTTTATGTAAACAAGGCCTTATTTTTCCTAAACTTCATAAAGATTTTTCTTGCAATGTTGCTAACTGAAGTTAGACTGCAGTCCAACACTTTCAGTCTAACTTCTAATTTATTAACAACATCAACATCTCATTTTATTAAAAATCAAAACAAATTGGATCATTTTTGACACAGGGACATTATTAGAATGAAGTGCTATTTGCACTGTTGTGCATCTTTGTGGTACACTTTGTCTTTGCCTGATTATCTTATTGAGTATTAATTATTTGGTCTTAGCTAAACAGATCAACTTATGCTCCTGTATTTAATGTTACTCATACTTGTGATACATGGAGATTTTGGAGGTATGTGGTGCAAACACATTCTAAAAAGATACACGATTCAGAATTATCCTTATATAAACTAAAATGACTAACCTT